CCCCAAAACCCCAAAACCCCAAAACCCCAAAACCCCTAAGTTAAAATTTTAATAGAAATAGAAATGGGAAATAAATCCTCATCGGCAAGTAAGCACCTTGGCTCCGGCTGTTTTTCCTCTTGAGAGTGAAATTTTGGCTGGAAGATTCTCTATCATTTGGGAACGTGTATGGAATCTACGGGGTTAATTGGATTCTTAGTGCGATATATTGGATTTAAGGAACATTTATAAGAAAGACTTAGATATGACCCAACTGGTTGTTAAAATTTATGTACAATACAACTTATTCTATTGAATTAAGGACGTCTAGAGTCACTTCTAATTGGATTTAAACAATATTCCCTTGACTCTAGAATGAAGCTTTAGATCCTGATCTTGTTGGCGGTTTGATCATAGCTTCAATACTCATCGCATAATTACTTTTCTAAATATCCAAATAGGCAAGTCAGCATCACAAAAGCCAAAAATGAGTCCTGATGTAAGCCTTTGATCTAAGAATCTACGAACAGTTTGTTTCTTAAAAATTAGCCGGGCTCGAGGTTAAAAACCTGAGCTTAGCAGAAGATTTGGTATTAGTGCATATGGGTTACTATAACTTGGATTTTAGGGTGAAATCATGGCTTATCAAGATCTTGCCAAACTTTATGAGGAAGTAACTAATACTTCTCCTGTTGGATGAGAAGAAGGGTTTACTAGCAAATCTGAGTTCTTCTTGCGCTTTGATTCTCCTGAAATCTTGCCCTTCTTAAAAGCAATTTCCAAGAGACTGCCTGAACTCGACGCTTTAAGAATATGTGAATTTCCAACAGAGGAAGCTGAGAGTATGAACATGTTTTTCAAGAAGTACTTCCCGAAGACTGTCAGAGAGTTTTGGTTTAATTATCAAGGTGATACAAGCCCCATTACTCCTTTCATCAGTGAACTTGGGCAAGTGAGTGCCAGAGTTACAAAGATCCTATGGTATTGCCAGTTTGAAATCAACCAGGATGAGTTAGTCACTCTGTTCTCTCAGAACAAGTCTATTGAGCAGTTCGGCCTCACTCGTTGTAACCTGGATTTGACTTCAGTGCCAAATCTTACTAAAGCCCTGGTCGGTAGTACTATTAAAACTCTGATCTTGAGCGATAGCGGAGACTGCAACTATGGAGATTGGGAGGAAAACCCGACTCACTTTGAGAACCTGATCGAAGGCCTAGGTAAATGTCCCGACTTCAAGAAGAACTTGGAAGAGATTGCTATGTGCGGTAACTCATTATCCGAGAGCCACTGCGAGGATGTGCTCAAGAAGCATGGATTTGATAACGTCAAGATTTGGATCTAAACAACGGAACCTAAAAGTATGATATCCTAAGCAAGGATGACCTTCTGCTACTAAATAAGAAATCTTGGTTAAGATTGCGTACAAAATTTGTCTTTCAACTGGAGAAATTATTGTTTCAATAAGGGTTTTTACCTTTGGGGTTTTGGGGTTTTGGGGTTTTGGGGTTTTGGGG